TAATACTAACAGTCATGAAGTACTTAAACACTTTGTTATCTGTTATAAATAACTTTATTAAATTGCAAAATAAAATCGTGTAACATAAAATTGTTTAGTCATTTTGTATAACTGATTTTTGATATGGTGATCACCAAAGACTAGTGCCGTAATCCAAAAAAGGAAAAAGTATGGTTGCAAAAGTGGTTGCAAAGGTAATTGTGACCACTTTTTATATGCCGTAAATACAATTACTACCATCATCATAATTTACGGCACTAGTCTTTAGTGATCACTCCACCCCTTAAGCAAGATAGAGATTGCTGTTGGTGAATTATTAAAAGATGATAGATATTATATTTAATAAATATTTGTATAAATCTGGTTGGAGATGATTTTTTGATATTAAGTACACACATTTTAGTTGTTTAATGGTTTGTTTTTTGTTGTTGTTGTCATAATTGTTTACAAAACAAGCATTTTGGTGTTCTTGAATTTTTTCATGAGAGTCTATGGCTTCTTTTCTATATCTCAACAAACCCATTGCAAAGACATTTTTATATCCAAAAGTTCTACAAAATTTACAATACATATTGGGGTCTGTACTAAGAAAATCAAGCTTCCAGCTATTTTTTTTTTTCATCTTTTACTCAATAATAATTTCTAATAAAGGATTTACAGTTGGTGAAAAAATTGGACCCTGTTTGCATAATAGAAAAATGAGATACAAGGCTTGGAATATTTTCTTTATATATTAAAAACATATGTGTAACCAAATTTATAAGGTTGTTACTAAAATAGATTTTTTGTCTGGAAGCTTGATTTTCCTAATACAAAACCCAATATATGTTTTTTGTTCCAATTCTTTGAACTCCAACCAAGTGTAGGTTTAAGTTGCTCTTTTTTCCCCTTGGTTTACTTTTAAAGCTTTTGATGATGACAATGCACCTAATGTGGACATTAACCCTAGGCTGGACAAATTCCAATAGAAAATTCACTAAAATCATCTGGAACATTCACTACATTCACCATGATTATTAGGGTTTGTATTCATGGACACTAGTGGTAGTATCTGTCAGATATTCAGATATTCACTGATCATCCTTTCACAAAATTTTGATATCCAAATACTCAATCGTCAAATAATTTTGACATCCGAATACTCAATTGTCAAATAACTTTGATATCTGAATATTTGGTCTGTTTGCCAGTTTTGATACTGGATACCCAAATATCCATCAAATATCCATCAATCAATATAATAGTAATAATAATGAATTTACTAGTTAAATCTTGGTATAACAGATTTTTAATTAATACTTACATAAAAAAATTATTATTCATCCAAAATTTTTATAACAATAAATACATTTATTAATCAAAGATAATTTTATATATTTATTAATCAAAGAATTTTTCTACATCAACCATGTTTTTTTTTAAAAAAACTATTTGTTCAAAAAGAATTGGATTGAGTTTTGTTCTTTTAGCTGTCAATGTATTGCCAGCATCACTGAACAATCATTCACTCAGTGTAGAAGTAGCAGATACACATAAATATTTACTTGCAATTTTAGCTAATGTGGGGAAATTATTTTTTTTGGTTTTTCCACCAGATAAATGGATCTTGATCCCATTTTAATTCATCTAACATGAAATAGGATGATAACTAAATAATTTATATTAAATAATTTAATTTTAATTTAAAGAATGAATTAAATGAATTTATTTATACATCATTTAAATTTTTTTCTTTTGTTTTACCATAAATAGTTTTCATTAAAGAAGGTTGATAAACTTTTTTAGACTTTATTCTAGAATCTGTGGTGGATTGATTAGTATCTGCAGTAGGTGATTGTTCAGGACACATTTCTAAATATATTTTCTTTAATATATCAAAAACCTCTTCTCTTTTTTGACTTGTTATAAAATTTAGCTTCTTAACCCTTGGGTCTAAAACACATGCAACTAATTCTTCTACAGGTAGATTAGGCCAATAAAAATTTAAATATTTATGTAGGTTGTATCTAACTTGATCTGCTAACCTATACATGTCTTGTGGTTTATTAATATTGATTTTTTTCTTTTTTGATTTATCTTTACTGCTATTACCATTACTGTTATTATCATCATCATTGTCTTCTTCAACTTCTATTTCATCAAATACAGTTTCTGATGATTCAAGAATTGGTTCATCACAATATTCATTGTAATTTGTCTCTACTTTGAATTTTTCTTTTAAAGCTTCAATCACAGGATACATCAAACTAATTGTTACATAATTGCTAGCTCCCAACATTAGCGTTGATTTGTAAAATGGTCCTAATATGTTAATCATTTCCAGCATAAAATCCCACTCATCTTCTTCAAGAAGTATTTTATTAAGACGATTATAATCTTTTCTAATTTGAAGATTATTTTTTCTGTTTTTGGATAAAATATCTAATGCTGCATATATAGCATCTTTTAATAAATAAATCCGCTCCCAAGCTAAAAAAGAACTATTCCATCTTGTTGGTACATCTCCAATAGCATGCAAGTATTTATTATTAGTTTTAGCTATCTATATAGGATTGTAATGTGATAGATATTAACTTTAATAAATATTAATTTATCTCCAAATAAAATTATTAAATTAGTAAAGTTATATTTACATCATCATCATCATTAGCAGCAACTTCCTTTTGTGCATTCTCTAGGAGTTCAGTTTGTTTTGGACTAAGGAAAAAATTTATAAGCCTTTTTGCTCTTGCTAAAAATACATCACAAACCACAAGAGATTTTCCAATAACCAATTGAAGAGTATGTGCACCACATGAAGTTCTATTAATATTATACATATGCTAATTTAAATTCAAGTACAGTCAACCCTCCATAAGTGCACCCCCCTTGAAGACCGTGCACTTATGGAGAAGTGCACTTATAGAACAAAAGTATTTTATTGGTTGCACGTGACACTAATGAAAAATTAAAAAAATTTTTTATTTATAAAATTATTTATTGATTGATAAAATCATACATTGTAGTTTGTTTCATTCTATTTATTTTTTTTAGATTAATAAATTTATCAAGAGCATTAGCCATTTTTAATTGTTCACTAGAATTTTCTTCTTGTAGTAGAAATGCATAAACAGTTTTTAAACTTTTTGAAGCTTCGCTGGCACTTATTACCACTGGTTCAATACTATCATCTTTATCATCTTCGATATCCTCAATAGGCACTTCTAGCTGTTTTTTAAATATTTCTACAAGACCCTCAATAATTTTATCATCATTATCAGGAACCTCATAAACCATTCCTTCTTCTGGATTATTTAAAAATTCATCAATTTGCATAGCATTAGATAGGTTAAGTGCTCCAATTGAATCCGAAAGTTCTTCTAATGTAGGAATATTAATTAGTTTCTCCAACATTGCTAGCAGTATCAATGGCAGCTGGGAGGATTTGGTATGTTGCCAGCAGTTACGAATGGTTTCAGGTGTGATTTCTTCCCAACTTTTAATAATGTATTGTATTGCCTGCAATACATCCATTTTTAAATCTTTTATATCATTTCCATCTTCAACTTGATTTAGAATCCATTTAATATGTAAATGACGATAATGTTTTTTAAAAGACATAATAATTCCTACATCCATTGGCTGAATTTTTGATGTGGTGTTTGGAGGAAGAAAATGAACATCAACATGAGAAAGAACCAAACCATCAATCTTATGGCTTGGACAATTATCAAGGAGCAATAATACCCGCTGATTATATTTTTGAGCAACCTCCCTGTTAAACTCTTGAAGCCAGTCTTGAAAAACAGTAGACAGCATCCATGCCTTAGTATTATAATGATATGTCATTGGTAAGTTGTTTATGTTAATATTTTTAAAACACCTTGGCTTTCCAAATTTTCCAATTATTAATGGATTCAACTTGTGTGATCCATCAGCATTTGTACACAAAGCAATTGAAAGTCTTTCTTTATTCTTTTTACGACCAGAAAGTCTATTTGTAGCTAATGTTCTATCTGGTTCTAATCTGTAAAGAATAAAAAATAAGATCAAATTCTATTCAATTTAAATACAGATAATCAAAGATTGGTATTAAAATATTAATTACCTATAGAAAAGACCTGTTTCGTCCATATTATATATTCTTTCAGCAGGATAATTTCCACATTTACCTCTCAATAATGGTAAAGCATCACTAATGGCAGCTAGATCAGCTGATGATGCCTCTCCATGAAGTTTTATTTGATGAATTCCATTATGATTTTTAAATTTTACAAGCCATCCAGTAGAAAATTTCAATGTCCCTTCAGGAATTCCTAACCCAGTTGCTATTTGCTTAGCCTTTTCAACTAAAATAGCATCACTCAAGATTGCTTTGTGTTGATAAACTAAGACAAATTCCTTAAGAGCCAATTCAAGTTCGGGGACAATCACAGATTTATGTCTTTTTGCTTCTGGATTGCTAATTTCAGTGCTAAGTATTTCTTTACTTTTTTGAATAATTCTGGTTATTGTTGATCATGAACTGTAACTCCCCATTTTTGTTCAATCCATCCAACATATTCTTTTCTGGTCAATTTATTATTTGCAGCAAATAAGCAAAATTCATATTTTTGGGTATCAGATAAAGTTATTTTACTTGAAGACATTTTTTTATTTGGAAGTTATAAAAGAATACGAATGACTTAATGATATAAAACAATTACAGTAAACAAAGGTTGATATATAATAACTGGATATTTTTCTTTTTTAAAGTAATAAGTGTAATTCGATTTAATTATTAAAATTCTTAATTTTATCTGTTATGACTTTTCTTTTACCTTTTTATATGTAATAATTCCAACTATATAAAACATAAGAGCTTTGTCACCTGGATTCTTATTCTCTTATTCTCTTATTCTCTTATTCTCTTATTCTCTTATTCCGTTTGTTATTCTGTTATTCTAATAATTATTTACATCTATTAAAAAGAAAGAATTAATCATTTGTTATAATAAAGAAAGAAAGAATTCTTTATTTTCTTGTTACCTGAATTATTATTTTACAATGTTTTAAAACATCATTGTACATGGAATTACTAAATTAAAAATCAATGTTAAAATTTTAAAAAGGTCAATGGCTTACTTTCTCCACTTTAGGAATAAATTCATTAAAAAATGACACTAATGTTTTCCTCACTAATAAATAAATAATGATTTCATATTGCGGCGCAGTCACGTGAAAGTCACGGGAGTGCACTTAGAGAGGGTGGTTTTATATGAACGGGACCAGGAAAAGACTGTGCAGTGCAGAACATAGAGAGGGTGCATTTATCTCTAAGTCCCGAGCTTGGGACTGGGACATAGGGTGCACTTACGGAGAGGGTGCACTTATGGAGGGTGCACTTATGGAGAGTTGACTGTACATTATTACTGATAAAAATAAGATTTACATTCTTTCTGATTACAAATGTAACTATAGCACTACTGGATCTAGTATCTATCATGTTAAAATTACTGTCTCTGACTTAAAGATGAAGATTTTGCCAAAGTTGCTGATGAATATAAAAACAATCCTATTTGATTATGAATAGCCCATATAACTTTTTAATTGCTATGATCTATGTTGTTAAAAGAATTAAAAGGAAAAAATAAATCAATATTGTAACAAGGTTATTTTTCTTCCAAATGTTTCTGCTTTTTATTGGATAATAATACACTTTCATTTTGCTTTCTTTTCTTAACATTTATTATTTTTCTTTCTTCTTGATAAATTTCATAAGTAATCTTTTCTTTCCTTAGATAAGCTTCAAGTGTTTGAGTATCATTTATTTTGAAAATATAAGGAGCAATTTTTTCACCTTGTTCTTTCTTCAAAATACTTCTGATAGTACTATAATTCTTGGGTTCCATAGTAGATCTGATGTAAATGAGTTTCATATTAACTATTTTTATATAGGGGTAATTCTATGTATCACTTAAGATAACAAATTATAATAATAATCACATTAAAAATTTTGATCCCTGAAAACCTTGGTAATACCAATGTTCACTTTGTCTGGTTTTGTTACAGCATGCCCCAAGTAATATCTTTGAATTTATCTCTAATAAATGGACGAATATTATGATAAAGATATTCTTGCCTTTTGTAATCCAAAGGAGGTGGTGTTAATACTAAAATTGATAAAGATCTAATTTCTTCAAAGATATCTGTTTTCATGGATTTCAATAAATTGAACTCAACAAAAGGTCCATTAGCAACTTCTTGAACTTTCACCATACCAAGATTAGATGCTTCAAAAAGAAAATGTTGATATTTTTGTATACTTGGTAATTTCTTAAAATAAATTCCCAAAATAGCTTTAATATCTAAATATTGAAAACCTTTTCCACCTTCATAACACTGAGTTTTATTTAATCCAGTTGGACTAGACTTTTTTACCACCTCAACCACATGGTCCAGACAATCTACTCTTGTTCTTCTATAAAGTTTTTTAATCATCCCAAAATTACCATCACATTTGAATTTGGTATGTCCAGGAATCATGAAATTCAATTCAATGCTTTCATAATAACCACAAATTACCAAATGTAAATAAAATCAAATAGTTGTATTATTTTTATTTTGTCCACCAGCATTATCACAAGTAATCTTTAAATGCTTTTCACCTTTATTTAATTTCTTAATTCCATCAAAGATCAAACTAAGAGTTCCATTAGGTCCTTTTCCTATAGTTTCATTTTCATTAAGAAC